TGGTAAATTGTTGTATCACTTTTGCTACAGTATTCTGACTGATAAGTAGGGCTTTGCTGCTCTTATCGTAGCCTTAGCCTTTCTTGTGTAAAGAAATAATTTTCTTTCTCAGGTCTTGTGACAGTTCTCTTCCATGTGGTGCCATTGCTGACAGCATGAAATGGGAAGAGGTTTTCTTTAAGTTACACCCTTTTATAATCAACTGTATACTAGACACTTGTTTAATAAATAATTAGGCTCACCTGTAGTTGCATTCTTGGTAATTAAGTTTTTTTTTCTAAAATGTAGTTTTGCTCCTAAGACTTTAATTGGGGTGTATTCATTTTTGCAACATGGTCTTTAATTAATTTTTTTAGGAAAAATATTTTTGTGTGTGCAGAGTAACAAATCTTGTTTGCAATCAATGGCCCGCATTTGTGGAAGTGCACAAACTGTTGTCACCTTCTCACCAAGCTGCTTGGCAATAGTTTGGTAGCCCAGTTCAGCCTTGTGTAGGTCTACAATCTTGTCCCTGACATCCTTGGACAACTCTTTGGTCTTTGCCATGGTGGAGAGTTTGGAATCTGATTGTCTGATTGCTCCTGTGGACAGGTGTCTTTTAAAAAGGTAACAAAATGAGATTAGCAGCACTCCCTTTAAGAGACTGCTTCTAATCTCAGCTTGTTACCTGTATGAAAGACACCTGGTAGCCAGAAATCCTGCTGATATGATAGGGGATCAAATGCTTATTTCCCTCATGAACATGCAAATCGGTGCATAATTTGTTATACATGCATTTCTTTTGAATGTTTTGTTGCTATTCTGTCTCTCAGTGTTACAATACACCTACCATTCGATTTTTAGACTGATCATTTCTTTATGAGTGGGCAAACATTCAAAACCAGTAGGGGATCAAATACTTATTTCCTTCACTGTATATAAACAATATTAGCAGTATAAATGCTTCAATGCATTCTTATTAAAACTAAAAAAATCTGAGAAGTATAAAATACCAAAGTAAAAAACTAAATGTGTTCTTTTGCAAAGAAAAGCACAAAGTACAATATTTCAAAGGACTGTACATGCTAGTGTGGCACTCCCATCCTTTCAACACTTTATGTAACCATATTAGATATTAGGTCAACAATGTGGCAAGCATCCTCACCCCTTTCTGTACATGAAGCTGCAGGGAGAGGAATGCTCCACCCACAGCTGATTGGTTCAGCAATGACAACTTCCTTTCAGGTTTGGCCAAACGTGTTCAGATGGGACCCAGCTCATCCCTAGCCTTGATTTTTTTTCTTAAAAATAGCAGGTCATGATCTGCTATGTTAATATGCCTAGGCATTCCTGTGCTTTCAGCCTCATAGTTGTATATCCGCACCATAAGATCTAAGGTACTGTTGCTTCTGACTGCTACCCTGTTTCCCCTAAAATAAGCCCTAGCCCGAAAATAAGACCTAGTGCTATTTTTGGGAATTGCTAAAGTATAAGACCTACCCCGAAAATAAGACCTAGTTGTGATCAGGGCTTTGTTTCAGCCGGAACATGGCGGAACGCCATTCCACCACCTCCGCCACTGGCCTTGCGCACACCCATATCTACTGTCTCTTATAAACACAGAAGCGAGACTAAAGTAACAGCACCATCCGCTCCCACAAAACTTCCTCCGCTCCCACAGAACCTCCTTACCTCTGTAATCACTGTGGGACAGGGAAGGAACAGATCTCTGCGGGTGCAGTATGCAGTGTGTTTAGGAGCGGGGCATCTCCTCCTCCAGCCTAATGCATGGAAGCCGATGCCCCAGGGGTGATTGCTGGCCAGTGGGGAAGAGGCGGAGCAGTGAGTAAGTGCACTTGATGCACTGTGTGTGAAGATAGGACCCGAAATGGGAGTTACTATAGAGAGGGGCCAGCTGCTGACAGCTGTGTTTTGCAAAGCTAGCTAACCATATGAGGGCAGTGGAGGGGGAGAGGGGGGATGTGCAAAGGTGAGCTGCAGTCAGGTGTTGCAGAGGTAAATTGAGTCAGGTGAGTTGCAGACAGGGTGCATAGGTGAGCTGCGGCTGGGGGGGTGCAGAGGTGAGCTGCGACTGGGGGGGTGCAGAGGTGAGCTGAGTTGCAACCCACTTTTGCAACCCCCAGCCACAGCTCAGCTCTGCACCCCCTGGTCACAGCTCACCTCTGCATCCCACGTCTGCAACTCACCCCTGCACCCTGTCTGTGGCTCATATCTGCACCCTGTCTGAAACTCACCTGTCAAGTCACCCCTGCAACACCTGACTGCAGCTCACAACTGTCATCAGCCGGCCCGCTCCATAGTAACCCTCATCCACAACTGCCTGCAGCTCACCTCTGCACCCCCTGTCCACACCTGGACATTTAAAAAATAAGACCTACCCCGAAAATAAGACCTAGTGTGTTTTTTTGAGCCAAAAAAAAATATAAGACAGTGTCTTATTTTTGGGGAAACACGGTAGTCTCAGGAGATTTGGAGTGAGATTTCGTAAAATCACTACTGTGCTGCAGGAGAGAAAGCTGCAGTGTATGTATCTCCCTGCTTCTGCTTCTTTCATTCTGTAAATCTGTGCTTCTTCAACCTCTCCTGCTTCTTGGATATTCTCTCAGCAGTCATCAGATCACCAGTCATTGGGGGGGGGCAGTTCTGAAATGGGCACAGCTTCCACAGGTCAGGTCCTCTTTGACATGAAAATCTATATCTGATGCTAGGTCCTCTTAAAAGTGTATGCACCTTTTTGCAAATGCTGTAAAATATGAAGCCTTCATAAACAGTCATAATCACGTCTTACCAGTTCTGCCAGAACTGGAAATATGAACCTGGAACAAAATGGAACAGTATGGCAGAATGTTTTCAAACTGCTTGTTTATAAATGCGCTACAGATTTTACGTCAAATGGGTGACTTGAGGTTTGGGTAGCAGTCAGCGGAAAATTATTCCTTTGAAAAATGAAACAGATGATCATTTTGGCCTCCTGGTCCTATCATGTCTATCTCTTTCCTTCCAAAACTATTTCCACTCTAAACATCAATAGTTCTATTTATTTAACTCATATTATAGAACATTACAGATGTATTTTACCATTCAGAGTATCAGTATTCAACATGAAATGCAATTAAATATATCAAACGCACTTTAAGAATCTGCTAAAGTTTGATAACATTTACAAAGTGACATTCACACGCATTTAAAACTCCAGTCTGGATTTTTCCATTAACTTTAAAGGGAGATTTTATTTTAAAGGCCCTTTAGAAGAGCATGAAAAAACAATTTAAGTTGACAGACTTTTTAAGCACTCATGCATACAATAGTGTGCTTAAAATGCTGGTGTTCTACCTGATATTGAAATATCTGAGAAAGAGTGTGAAGGGACGTGTCATGTGTTAGAAGACTGGTTCCTAGTCACTGAATCAAGCCGAATATTGAGACTCGGAAATAATTGCTCTCCAAATGCTACGCGTGGAAAAGGCAATTACACGTGTGCCCTGTATTTCTGATGAGAGAAAGAAAATTGCAAATTAAAAAGAAGCTGCTATAGAATAAGATGGAGACTTTTCATGGCTTACTTGCCCTCTGCATATGCAGGAGATCCTGTGATAATGGGGAATACTTAAAGTTAGTCTGTCATGACTGAGGCTTTAAAAAACTTTACAGAAGTGGAATGCCAGTATCATGCTTACTGACTTGACTAATATTGTGTGCACCAAACTCTTACCAAATTGGCTGTAATCTGAAATTCTGCTCTTTGTGAGCCACCATATTTAAAAGTGAATTTCAGGCATGGCAGCTTTTTCATAGTTACATTGGTCCAGTAAGGCAGGCCATAGATGGGCCGTTTATTCAGATCTCCCTCAGCATAAGTTTTGTGCCCAGCTTTCGTTTTTTTGATCCCATTGTATTTTGAGGTGCCTTTTCTTTCGGTATGTCGTCCCAGAACAAGCAGAGTTTCTAACTGGCCAGTTTATTCACGTGGCCAGTCCTGGCCAACAAACCCTCACCATTGCAATCAATATACTGCTATTCCACCTTCAATGCTGCTTTGTGATATTTTTAGGTGTTAAACTGTTGTGAATTTTTCTTTTTTTGTGAAACGGTGAACTAACCCTTTGAAGCTGAACTGTAGGCAGATTCGGTATATTAAAGCACATTTATGCAGCTTATATTAAAGCACATTTATGCTGCAATACCTGTATGGAAGGGCTCCAGTGTGAGAAAATGAAGCAGCAAAAGGAGCCAATCAGTTCATGTGCTGACAGGGAGCATTCTAATAGCAGGATAGGACATAGTGACAGGAGGATGAGCATATCACTATCCTGCTTTTCTTATAGGAGCCAGTCACAGGCATGGGGTGGGCCCAAGATATCAAAATGTGGACACCTTGTGGTAAAAAAGAAGGTCTGCAGGAGAGTGCTTCCCTGAATTAACCCTTTCACTGCCAGGTCCGTATGTCGTATAGACCTGACAGCAGGGGTGTTTTATATACAATCCAGTGGCTACAGCCATTGGCAGACTTCTGTCTGTCAGGTGGAAGCAGTCGGGTGGCAGCGCTGCCATCTGATTGCTTCCACAGCCCCTGGTATTGGTGCCCACCTCCACCCCCACATGCATGCTCCCACCATGTAACCAGGCCCCGCTTGCCCATCTGTGGGCCCAAAGAGTACCATGGTGGGTGCCGGCAGGTGGAGGGGAGAGGAGAGCGGATGAACGTCCACTCTCCTCCCTTTCTTTTTCTTTCTGTGATGTGTGTGACGTCACTTCCAGGTCAGCCCTGTCACTTTCTTAGCTAGCAGAGCCGAGAAGCAATGTATTGCAATGTGGTCTGCATTGCAATACATCCAGTGGAGCCAGGAGGAAACATGCAGGGTGATGAAAAAAGAGTTGAATAAAAATTTTTATTGCAAAAAATTGCGATACATGTTACATATAGCCAGGCACACCAGAGTGAGAGCAGTAATTCTAGCACAAGACCTCCTCCGTAACACTAAACCTATAGGGGCTTTTGAAGCATCACCTACAGCAGGCCTTGAAATTTCCACTCGCCTGCTTGCCAATGGCGAGTGGAAATTATGGTGGGGTCGAGTGTGTCCCCAGGGTCGTCTTGCTGTGAGCAGGCTCGGAGCTCAGGTCAGATCTGTCATTGTCACTGGGAGCCAGCAGACTGCTCAATAGCTGAGCGCAGTGAAAACAAAGGAAAAGGAGTGTGTGCTGTGGTCTCTGCCTCCCCTAGAGTGCAGTACCCGGTTCTGTGAGTGAACAACGAAGTACTGCAACTTTTTATAGGGGTGTGTGTGTGTGTATGCATGTACATGTGTCTGTGTGTATGTACATGTATGTGTGTGTGTATGTGTATGTACATGTGTGTGTGTGTGTGTATGTACGTACATGTGTCTATGTGTACATGTGTCTGTGTATGTATGTACATGTGTATGCATGTACATGTGTCTGTGTGTATGTACATGTGTCTGTGCATGTGTATTTCTGTGTATTTACATGTATCTGTGTGTATGCGTGTCTGTACATGCCTGTGTGTGTATACATGTGTCTGTATATGTTTGTGTGTACATGTGTCTCTGTGCCTGTGTGTACATGTTTCTGTGTGTGTGTATGTACATGTCTGTGTGTGTGTACAGGTGTCTCTGTTTGTGTGTGTTTGTTGGTGGCGGGTAACTCTTAAGGCCTGGCTAGTAGCTCAGGACTTGAAATTTTAAGCCCTGAACTACAGTATAGAAAATATAGGGTACTGAAGTTTGTCAACATTTCATAGGCACACACGAATTTAAGGTTTGGCATGTTGGGTATCTATTTACTCGATTCAACCTCGTCTTTTATATTTTACAAAAAAATATGGCTAATTGAGTGCATTTGTTTGCCCTAAAATTCACTTTACTATGTTTTTACTGAAATTTTGTAGGAATATCATGTGACATAAAAATTAGAACTACCACTATTTTATTCTCTAGGGCATTTGCTTTCAGAAAATACTGTATAAGAATTGCATTAGACTTTCAGGTAGCCCACATATACTGTATGTTTCATTTAAGCACCTGAACACTAGACAATTTTTTCCTACCTGGGCCAGTTTTTTCAGCTTTCATATCAGATATGGATGGGACACTAGTATTACAGATGTTTTTTTTTGCACTGCATCAGAATGGGGAAAGAAAGGGGATTCAAGTGACTTTAAACATGGAATAGTTTTTGGTGCCAGATGGGCTGGTCTGAGTATTTAAAAAACTGCTGATCTACTGGGATTTTCATGCACAACCATCTCTAGGGTTTATAGAGAATGGTCAGAAAAAGAGAAAATATCCAGTGGGCAGTTGTGTGGATGAAAATGCCTTGTAGATATAAGAGGTCAGAGGAGAATGGGCAGACTGGTTCGAGATGATAGAAAGGCAACAGTAACTCAAATAACCACTCGTTACAACCAAGGTATGCAGAATAGCATCTCTGAACAAAAAACACATCGAACCTTGAACCAGATTGGCTACAGCAGTAGAGGAGCACACCGGGTTCCACTCCTGTCAGCTAAGAACAGAAAACTGAGGCTACAATTCGCACGGGCTCACCAAAATTGGACAATAGAAGATTGGAAAAATGTTGCCTAGTCTGATGAGTCTTGATTTCAGCTGTGACATTCAGATGGTAGGGTCAGAATTTGGCGTAAACATGAAAGCATGGATCCATCCTGCCTTATATCAATGGTACAGGCTGGTGGTGGTGGTGTAATGGTTTGGGGGATATTTTCTTGGCACACTTTGGGCCTCATAGTACCAATTGAGCATTGTTTAAACTCCACAGTCTACCTGAGTATTGTTGTTTACCATGTCCATCTCTTTATGACTTCCAGCAGGATAATGCACCATGTCACAAACCTCGGATCATCTCAAACTGGTTTCTTGAACATGAGTTCACTGTATTTCAGTGACTTCCACAGTCAACAGATCTCAATCCAATAGAACACCTTTGGGATGTGGTGGAATGGGAGATTCGCATCATGATCTGCAGTCGACAAATCTGCAGCAACTGCATAATGCTATCATGCCAATATGGACCAAACTCTGAGCAATGTTTCCAACGCCTTGTTGCATCTATTCCACGAGGAATTAAGGCAGTTCTGAAGGCAAAAGGGGTCCAACCCGGTACTAGCAAAGTGTACCTAATACAGTGGCCGGTGAGTGTATATGTTTCATATAAGCACCATAATGGCATGTATCAAGAGATCACAAAGAGGAACTCATCATCAAGCAGGTAGTTTATTAATGAATTCACATAAGAAATTAAGAAAACAACAATGTTCCCCCCCACCAGGTGTGAATTCACATGTTAATGTGCCCTCTTGGCACTCAAGATTTCCAGCGGTATGCACGTTACAATCCATAATCCATATGTGTTTTTGATGGTATATGAGCTATATGAAGAGTTGTGCAACCATACTGGAAATTTTAATTTTTTCAGCATAATTTTCACGGTGACTTTGTTGATCACTATTCATGTCACCATAGTGCTACTTGCAAAATTTATTGTTTTGGAAAGTATTCTATTCATTTCTAATCTATTCTATTCAAATTTGAATTCATTGTATTCGAAATTCAAATTTTGGAAGACAGTTATATTCTTTCTATTTTATTCTATTCTGTTGTTATTTCTATTCTAGTCTATTCTATTATTTTATTTTCTATTCTATTCTTTTCTATTCTAATAGAGTCTATTCTTTTCTATTCTAGTCCTTTAATTCTATACTATTTTATTCTATTCTTTAAGTTTCTATTCTATTTTGTTCTGTTTTACTCTATTCTTTTCTATTCTGTTCTATTCTTTTATTTTCTATTCTATTTTGTTCTGCTTTAGTCTATTCTTTTCTAGTCTGTTCTATTCTTTTTTTTCTATTCTATTCTGTTCTGTTTCCTCTATTCTTTTCTAGTCTATTCAATTATTTTATTTTCTATTATATTCTACTCTTTTCTATTCTATTCCTTTATTGTCTATTCTATTTCATTCAGAATTTCTATTCTTGTTTTCGAATTTGATTACAAATTCGAATTTGTTTTCAAATTCAAATTTGTTTTCCAGTATTTTTTAATTCAATTTAATTCTTTTTTAATTCGAATTTCTGACAAATTTCTACTGTATGTCATTGTAGACATACTACCTGCCAATACAGAAATAGATGTCTAATGATAGGTGTTATTTTGCACTAGAAAGGCCATACACTGAAATCACAAAGTAAAATTCGTATTTATCCATCTGTGAAGGTCAGTGCATTCTCACATTTTAGTTCCCAGGTTCAAGAAATGTCAGATTCTTTTCTTGTCTCTACTAAGCTCAATATATGAGCTGAACACTAAAGGAAAGTAAAATTCCTCTTCTGCAGTGTGGACAAATGCTTGTTTATGTGTAGGGGATGGAAAAAAGCAGTTTTACTTACCTGATCCTCTACTACTGTAGATTCCTCCATGCTGCAGGACTGGTCCACTAGAATTTGGCAGTGGATTGACCTCTGACATTATCAAGAACGGTGCAGGGCCTATAGACCTGCATTGGATGTGAGGCGCCAAGAAACTGTCCACTGCCAGAGCACAGGAGAGTGTCTTCTGCTAGAGAAGCAGAAGATCAGGTAAATAAAAATACTCTTTTGTTCCCTAGATATAAAAAAGTGTAGCCTTCATTTTAGGGTGTGCGGGGAAGGTTAATAGAAATGGCCCCTGAACTAAACCTGTAGGTACTGTCAAGCTTACCCCTAACGCTGGTGGTCAAACACTATAGCTGGCTTCTGTGTTTTTAACCTATGGCAGCCACTTTGCCCATAAGGCAAGCATGTTTACCGGTACTCGGTTGCCCCCAGGACTTATACACAATGCTAGAGCATCTGGCTACCACTCCGGGACATGCATGAACTGAGTGCAGCAAACAGGTACTTGCAGTTGGCTGACAGGCAGAGTGATTCAATGACAGTGCAGGCACAAGGCAGGCAAGGTTCAGAATAGTCAGGGTCAAATCCATAGTCAAAGGCAGGCAGAGTTCAGAGTGTAGTCGATATCCAATCCAGGGTCATCAATGGGGGAATCCAAACTAGCAAACAGGGAGCTTGGTGCCCGTGTTACTGACATGAGGGAAGCAAGAAGTATACCAGATAGTGTGAATTGCTGATCCAGCTTTATTATACAGTTAAAATCAAATTCACATTTCAGAAGAACACAAGGCACATCTCATAGCCCTACTGTATATGGCATCATAGCTCAGCCCAGCATGATGACATCAACGCTGACAAATTGTGCCCAGATCATCTTTCTCAAAGAAGAAAATAACCCTCATCATTGGCGTCAGTTTAGCCCCAGTGCAGCATTGCTGTGTAGTGGTACTACTCGCAGACTCCTGCACTGCTGCTTCTCTGCTGATCATGAAGCTGAAACTATACCTTTACTGTCAGATAGGAGATCACTCATCACAAGAGTGCTGGATACTGGAACAAACGGCAATCGCTGCTCTGCACAGTGTTCTGGATACTGCTTGACAGCCTGCGGAATGCAAATCCAACTTGACATAGTCTAAAGTCCTGTGACTGTTCTGCAGGATTTTGGGACACTAGACAACCATCTGATCCACACACGTGCAGTGCGGATTGATGCTCAGGTTTCACAGCTAATTGATACAGTAGTTCAGCGGTTTATGTCAGGTTCATCAGGACAGGATTAGCTCAGGATATTATCCTGTTCACACATATGCGGTTTAGAAATGGTTCCCATAGAAGTCAATAGCCTGTAATCAATATTTGAACCTGAAGGCACTGCTCAGAAAACGTTCATGACTCTTTTTCAAACCATACTGAATCTGCACTGAATCCACATCGCCATATGTGAACAAACACCATAGGAAGCAATGTTTTTTCACATGTCATGCGGATTTGATGCGGTTCAAACAGTATGCAATCCGCATATATGCGAACCAGCACTAAGGATACTTATTTTTAAAGAGTGACAGTTATGCTTAATTGAAGAATAGTTCAGTAAGGCCTCGTTCACTCCATAGAGCAGAGACGTCAGTGCAGAGGGCATAAAATAAATAATTGTCCTCTATGTGCCCTGTTCACCCACCACACTAGTATTACCTGTGGATTTTCTGTGCAGGAATGCAATGTGTATAAAACCCACTGAAATGCACGTAAAAACTGATGTTTCTGCAAGTGAAATCTGTGGTTTTCCCATCAGTTTTTATGCACGTATGGTGTGAACGAGACTTAAGAAAAAGACCTTACAAGAAAGATGGTGTTAGGTACTGTATACTGTATACAGCAAAACATTCCCAAATTCAGTATATCAAAGAACACAAAAATAGAAAAAGTATGGGACTTTAAAGGATAAGTTCACCTTTTAGACAAAAATATTAAATGCACATTTTTTAGCAGGTAAAAAAATGTGTATTTATTATTTTGTCTATAGGAGCCTGTAAAGCATTGTACCAGCCATCAGTAGATCGCTGATGCCATGCAGGCCTCCTGCAGACCTGTCAGAATTTCTGCTTGCAGTACAGGATGTATGAGCAAGCAGATATACTGACAAGAAGCTTCAATGAACTACCACTGCGCTCCACAGTTGCCATGGTAGTTCATTGAACACTACAAT